CTGGCTCTGTTTGCGTTCCTATTCCGCCCGTGTGACCTCAGGATCGGGAGAATAAACAAACCTATTCCCAGGCTGTAATAGCAGAGCTAACCCTGTTCCAGGTTCACTATTTGGAAGTTTCTGAGCTGTGTGAGGCAGTGCGTTGGTCAGTAACAAAAGCACACAACACTCTTCTTCTGTTCTGTTTGCTTAGTTTATCTAAACCCCATTTGATAGCTGCTTGCAGAGGGGTTTCGTAAAGCTCCAGCGCAGCAGTAGTACAGAGGGGTGTTTTGCCACTGGTGTGATCCAACTCTGACGTGTCACACACAGGCGAAGGTCCAGTGTTTCTGCTGGTTTTTGTTATGTATATTTCAGTTGGGCCTAGAGAAACCGGTAGTGTTCTGCCGTTCTACAGACGAGTAGGAAAACGCGGCCCTTGTTTTATAGAGACTAGAAGCTAGGATGATTTCTATTTAAAATAGCTGAAACAAAAAAAATTGAGATGTCAGAGGAAGATATTCAATAAAGTAGTAGTAAATTTATTCTAGGCTATAGTATTTTCTTTATATTTTTAATAATGCCTTTTTGTTACGCATTCTTGACTAAAACTTTTGATTTTTCTGGTAAAGTAACTATGACATGGTAATATCAGTATGTTAATACTATTAGTTTTGTTTACCATCTTGAAACTATAACTTCTGGAAAAAATGAGCATTCTCAAAACAGTGCTAAGACTAGCAACCACAAAGAACAGCTAAGACTTGTGAATACTCTTAAATGTGAAATTAAACAATTCTACTTTATTTGCAACTTCACAACTGTGAAGCATTGTGCAGGTATTGTATAAATCTTGTTGGCAAGCTGATACTGCTGGACTTGCATGGATGGGGTTTTTTGGTATCCAGGTAAAATGCTTTGAAGAGAGAAATTTCTTCTGATAACTGCAAAGTTGTTTTTTTTTTTGTTTTTTTTTTTTCAGTTTTCTGAAATACTTGCTTAGAATTGTTTTAAATTCCAAAATCCTTATTAGTTTAGTTTGGAAACTTATTTTATGCTGCTAAACTGTAGTTATCTAGTGCGTTTGTTTTGCCTTTTTGAAAGATAAAGTGGAGATTCCAGTTCACACATCCGTGCTTTAGTTTGTGCAAGAGAGATGTGTTGATGTTCAGTAGTTACCTTGAGGTGTACTTGACTGTTAGATACTGCTGTGAACAACTTCTGTTTCCTAGAAATTTCAGAGTAGTACATTTTTATGGGTTACTAGTTTTGAGGGTGTAAAAAATATAGTGGCCCTTAAGTACTCTTCTGCAAAAACCTTTAAATCCTGTGTGGCCTAAAGAACACTTTTTAAGCTGTTCCTTACATTCCTTTTTTAAATTTCCTAATTTTCTGATGTTTCCTGATTTCTTTTAATGTTATTTCTTACATTCACTGCTTTGACTGCCACCTGAGCTGAAGATGGTGTTTGTGGATTGTAGACTTTAACATCTTCGGTTTAGTAGGTTTCTTGGGTAAATAGTTGCCTCTGCAGCACTTGAGCTGTGTCAGTTTTAAACAGCACATAGGAAATGATGAAATAGAGTATTTCCTTGAAAACTGTATTTATTCTAAATTTTGAAAAATTATCAAGGATGCTTTATAGTCAATTCAGGATGATTTCACATTAGTAAAAGGAAATGTGGTATTTGTATCCATTGAAACTGTAAACATAGCCTGTTTGAGGAAAGTTGATCATTAGAGGAAGAGTATCCAGGGACAGAATTGTGTGGTTTTTGTGTTAGATAAACTGGTATGGTAGATTGTGTCACCTTTGTAAATAAAAGTGGGTCTTTTAGGGGTTTTGTGCCTTTACATGGTGGGCAGGGTTGGTGTTTTGTTGTGTGGATGTTGTTGAGTTTGATTGGTTTCGTTTTTTCTTTTTTTCCTGAAGAATTAGTCACTGTTGTGTGTATTTTATGGAACTAATTCTTGAGACTTCTTGAAACTTGACATGAGATTACTGAGAAACACAACTGTCATGTCAGGGGCAAAGTCCTAAATGAAAAACAGATTCAGTAACATTAAATAGTCAAGTAAAAGCTTTTTATTTCCCTTATTTTAAAGCTTAAATACATACTCTTATGTCAGTTTTGTGGTCTGACTTAAAGCTTAGATAAGAGAGAACTAAATTAGCTTCAGAAAGATTCCCTGGTCTGAAAAATAATTCTGACAGTGTTCTAAAGCAGCTTTTGATATTTACCTAGGAATGAACATTGAAGCAGTCTAAGATACTTATTAACAACTGTGGTCTTAAGTGATGTCTACTTAACAGGTTAAAAAGTAGTTTAATAAAAGTGAACATTTTCAATTTTCACTTTCTTTCAGATGCAGCAACAGAACTCCATGTGTCCAATTCTAGACTCAGAGAAATAGAAAGTATTAATGCAGCACAGAAGTTTGAAGTAAGACATTTTGGATCATCACTGTAATTAAAAGCAGTAAATAACATTTGTAAAGGTGAAATATTGCACTGAAGTTCTTTGTCCATGGGTAAATCTAGAAACAGGGGTGACAGTGGTGTTAGAATGTGGCTCTTTTTTTTTGTGACAAACTGCCATCACAGTTAGGGGGGCACATTTGTTGATAAGAGTATCCTCGTCGTGGAAGTTTTAATCTTTTGCTAACTGCTGCATCCTGCGATGGTTCTTACCTGTCATGTGGACTTGGTCTGCAGCAGTAGACTTGGCTCTGAAAAGCTTGCAAATGCAAAAATCTTTTAAGTTTTTGTAATTTTAGCTGGTAAAGTGTTAAAATTGGTTTATAGTGTTTCATATATGACCACAAAAGCAGATCTAAAATGCCTGGTTATGCTGGACAGCATGTCTTTTGCAGCAAGCTTCAAAGTATAGAGTGTAAGTGTTCCCTGGTGCAGTTCTCTGTGTTGCCCTACTGTATGGTCATTTTGACATAGCTGTGGATGCTTGTACTCTTCCAAAACTGTTTACGAATCCTCTGTGCCCTTGTGGAAAGCGACTTTGTGTACTTTTACAAAGGACTTGCTGGTTTGGGACTTTATTTATGGCTGTAAACCAATAATTTTCACATATGTCTTCCACTCTCAAGAGCACTGAGAAGTTAAGATAGTATTTTGGGAAAGTAACTGTTCCTGCTTGTCTCTTTTCTAGACACTTGCCATCTGCTATTGGCCAATGTCAGAGGGAGAATACTGAACTGTATGGATATTAGCTCTGATTCGTGCTCTGTGGGTGTTCTTAAATTCCACCTGTGGATCATGCTAAGATGTAATTCAGCCCTAAATTTTTCTTGTTGGCATTTGCCTCTGGTCAGCACAAACCTTTTTCTGAAAGTGAGCTCAAGTCCATATCACATGAAAATGGAAAGCTTGGACATGAACATGATTTTGGGCCTGCACTTGGAAGTTGCTTTTACTTTATGTTTTGAGTTAAATAACATGAGAAATCTCTACGATTTAGTTGATTTCTCTACTGTTCGTCAGATTTATTCTTTTCTAATTCTGTAAGACCTGTTCCTAATTTACCAACGTTACTTTTCATTTTTGCTAGAATGAGAGACTGAAAAAAGTTTGTAGCGATTTAGAAGAAAAGCATGAAGCAGCAGAGCTTCAAATAAAGCAGTTATCTATAGAGTACCGAAATCAGCTTCAACAGAAAGAGGTAGGATATGGAGTAAAATATTTGAATATGTCCAATAAACTTGTGTATTATGCTGTTCAGTTTTTTGTTATAGTATCTGTGCTCTTTCAGGGGAGATGTTGGTCACAGTTATGGTTTCTTGGTTTGTTAATGTAGACACTGAGTGACTAAGAGATATATTTCATTGAATCATGTAATAAAAGGATAGCTGCCAGGAGGTAGGTGAGAAAAGAGAAAACTCCGGGAATGTCATGCATATATCAAAATTTCCCTGGTTTCTGGAATCACTGTGAGAAAGGACACTTAAACCGCTTTGTGTTTCTGATTCAGTTATCTTTAAGGAAGGCAACAGGAGCAGACTATCATTTGAAGCAGCTACATTTTCTGTGGCTATCACAATTATTTGTCTTAATGTGTCAATTGAAGGGACGAGAACTAGCTTTCATAATTTGAGAAGTGTCCCTTTGTGATGGAAACATCGACTTTGTAACCTGTTGTGTAACATAAGATTTCATAGCCTTTTAAATGAAGAAAGTTGCCAGTATGCCTAGAATTACTCAAAAGGAGTTTCATTTCCGCTTTATTTGTAAATTCATGTGGGAACAAGAGGAAGCAGAATTTTGATATGTATAGAATCCTGCTTAATAAATACAATAGCAGAGTTGTTATGAGAAAATTGCATGCAGCTACTTTCAGTTTATTGTAAATAAGTAAACTTTCAGTACATTGAGTTGTTAAGTGTAAAAGAAATCAAATGTAACATAAATGATGAGGGAGCATCATATATTACTTAATTTTCATATCTGAATACCCTCTTTAAATATTTTATTTTTTTGTACAACCTGTTAGCCTGAATCTTGCTATAGTACTTAGGTATCTTTTCTGCTGAAAGATCAGCAAAAACTTTTACTGAGGTTTTATGTAACTGAAAACTGTTAAAGCTTTTAATATGTGTTATTTTGTGAGATTCTTTGTAAAACATCAGCTAAGGCTGCTTTTCTCCATTAGGAGAGTGTTTGGAGTTTTCTCCTTTTTAGTGAAAGTGATCAGTAATTTTTACGGGGTGGGGGGGGGGGGTTGTTTGGTTGGTTCATGTTTCACAAGGCCACAAGGGATAAAGTAGAGTGTATTTTGATATTCTTATTGAAACACTTAATTATATTCTGTATATTCAGGTGGAAATCAGTCATCTGAAAGCTAGACAGAATGCACTACAGGAACAACTGCAGAAAGTACAGACAGCTGCTCAGTCAGCACAGTTAGGAACTGGTGTTTTGCCACCCACTGCTACATCAGCGTCCTATGTTCCAGTGGTCAGACATTCCTCAGGTTTTGAAGGAGATGACATGGATCTTGGAGATATAATCTGGTCACAACAAGAAATAAACAGATTGTCCAATGAAGTCTCTAGGCTTGAATCTGAGGTTGACCACTGGAAGCAGACTGCACTGGTGAGTGGTTTCCCTCTATCTTACCCTCCCCTCTCCCCTCCAAATTAGTGTTTTCATTGCATTGGGTGGTTTTGGAGTGGGTCTTCTGAAAGTTCATGCTGTACAACTTATAGGAGCAAATGATTTGATGGAAAAGCTGAAACCCAATGATCTTTTAGTCATTTTCTTGCTGTCACATGACTGGGGGACTCATGCAGTGACTGACTTCAAAATGCTTTTTTGTGATGCTTTTGTGCATGATTTGTCAAGTTGGGAAAAGGGTTTCATAAACATTCACCTGGAATACAACAACTTCAGGGTTTCATGTTTGTGCAGCCTTTCAAAAAATACTTTTCTTCTTCCTGGCTGTCATATTGATTGACAGCACAATACTGTTCAAAATGGTAGTTGGATTCTTGCATACTGTTTTTACTTACTCATCTCTCAGTCCTTGATTGTGTTAGTTGTAATTCATGGTCTGCTGAGGCAAGAAAGAATATAATCTTTGAAGCTGTTGTTGATGTGAGTCATTGTTTTTCAAGCTATAGCCTGATTTCAGAGGTATACTTTTCCTGTGTGGAAATATTCAAGTAAAATTAAGCAACCCTGTTGTCTTATTAGGTGTGATAACACCCCCAACCCAAACTTTTACACATTTGCATGTAATAATAATTTTTTTAAAATCCATGTAAAATTAAAATGTTTCCATCGAAATATCCTTTTTTGATCAAAATTGCTGTAGATCTGAATTCTGCTTCATGTTAGATTTGTTGTTTTCTGCTTTTGAGTATCAGTAGAGGAAGAACTTACGTGAAAAACGCACATATTTATCACCATTTTCACATGGATATGTGATTTTCCTTTTCTCAGTCTTCCAAAGCGCAAGGGACAAATTATGCTGAACAAAGTGAAATATGCAAACTGCAAAATATTGTTAAGGTAAGATGACAACTTTGACAAACTAGTCTTCTCTTATGCTTTATTTGTAATGGTTTTGCATGTGGTTACATGACTTGTAAATGTAGTTAATGTTTACAACACTAGCACTTATATTTTCTCTATTAAAAATGCATTTGGGCATGTAACTGTGCTGCTGACTGAAATGTTGCTGTGCTATATTTAAAAACATTTATTCTGAGAAAGGTATTTGTATGATTTGATGAATGTTGTACATAAGCTTGAAAGAGTGACATTAGTATTTATGAAGGCAAATGACTTTCAGAAGCTGTTCATGACTTATGATACTGAATTTTAGATAAAATAATCTCTTCTCCCTTCTTAGAAACATCTTGCCTTTTTTCATTGAAGATGTGAAATAGAGACATCCATGTCATCCTTGAAAGTTACTACAAATATGTCCTAGTGTATCCGCTGTCTATGAAAGAGTGGCAATCTCTCTACATTGATTTGATATTTGCTGTTGTGTAGAGCATACTGTTTGTGTAAACGTATTTTTAAAAGGAATGTCCTTTAAAATGTTTTTAAAAAAACCCCCAAACCAACACAAGCCAAGAAACTTGACTTCTCCTGGGAGAAGTCCTTTAATAAATCCTTTAATTTTACTAGGGAAAACATTTTTCTTTCTTTTGTATTTTTTCTTTCTTAAGCTTCTGTACTGTATTTTACCATTCTGTTTCTCTAATGATATTTTAGGAGCTCAAACAGAATTTAAGTCAAGAAATAGATGAACATCAACATGAACTTTCAGTATTGCAAGATGCACACAGACAAAAGCTAGTAGAGTTAAGTCTTCGACACCGAGAAGAGCTGAGGGAATACGAAGAGCGAATTGAAGAACTTGAGAGTCAGCTACAGCAAGGTCTTTATTAACCACATACTTTCTTTTTTATTTAATGTATAGTGAATTTTGGTTAAAGCATCAAATATGTATGTAACAGTGTAATAGATATAAAATACATGATGTGTAGGAATTTGAGTTTCAACTTTAGTTCAGCTTCATGTTAAAGATGCGTGCGTGTCCTAGTATCTTATATTCACTGTGGTTGGCTTGAACACTGGAATGATAGCATTAAATCTTCTGGTATATATCAGTCTAGAGGGTCATTTTCTATATATATTGAATGTTGTGCTGCAAATTCTATGCTCCCTGGTTTTTTAACTTGCACTGAATATAGGTGTGGATGAGACATACAAAGTTGAAGATAAGAAAAATCTCAATACAAAAATAATTTTGGTGAAAAGCCCTATGTGCCAGTTGGGTTACTGGACAAAAGCTCAAAAATTGTCGTAAGGACCACACCTTAGTCTGTGGTGTGATTAGATGGTAGGGCAACCTCAGGAGTTCTCACAAGAGCTTTTCATCCTCTTTTAGGAATTTCATATTGCATAAAAATAGTCATGTCAGTTAGGTATCCCTTTGCGATGACTTTGCACAAATATTTAAAATTTGCCTTTAAACCTTTATTTTACTACTTGTTAAAACTTGGGCTTCTAAAGAGCATATACTCTCCTTTTGTAAAGAGAGATCCATTTTCTTCTTGGAAGGAAATGAAGTATTTTCACAGCCTTTTGATTTCTAAGGTAGTACTGGTAGGGAATGTATTCAGTAAAATCAGATGCCTGTTAAGATATAATCTGTCTTTTACTGCACGTACTATATATACTACACGTATGTACACCAACAGGACTAATATAATGAAGTCAAAGACAGGAATTGCATATCTTTTGCATTACAAGTTATCTGTAAAATAAATACTAGTCACATATTTTGAAGAATTAGAGTATTTTATATTTTAATTTTGCTGTTTCTGTGTGACAACATAATGCAGTCTGGGGTAGGAGAAAGTGTTTGAGCTTACACTGAAATGAATTCACAAGCAGCATGCTTTCATTTCACTTTTTTTCCTGTACGTTGTGTACTCTAACTCACCTGGAAATTACACTGTGACGATTGTAAAGCGCTATGAATGTCGTGACACTGTGGTGGATCTATAAAAGCATCAATTCTGCAAAAAGAGATCTTTAGGTGAAAAACTTTGTGCATCATTTACCAAATGATGTACTAATTTGTAGCAAATTGTTCTCTATAACAACCATTCAGCAAACCTTTGAAATGTAAGTAATTAAATTATAAACAGGGATTTTGCGTCAGGCTGAATTAGACGGGGTTTGATAAATTACTCCTAGAAAACTGAGGGATTCCAAATCTTAATAAATTAGGTTATGTCATCTCCCCACCAAGAGAAATGGGGGTCAAGTATTTTTAAATTAAATTGTGAACAATGTATGTGTTGCAACTCTAATATTTTAAAATTATTTTGAGACAGTATTTGAAAAGCTGCTTATCAACCCAGTACTGTATATGGCACTGCTTCAAATGTTAATTCAATTTAAGTAAGTTTTCTGTTGATGGTGATCTTGGTTTTGGTTTAGACTATCTCCTTCTGTCAGGAGAAGAGGTGGAAGAAGAGACCTTTAAGCAAAAGATCTACAGTGCTGGTTTTGGTTAATATTTCAAACAATCTTTTTTGCTTTTTAGATGGTGTGGGCGCTGATGCCATGGATAAGAAAAAAAATGCTCAGAGTCTGGAAGGAGGAAAAGTAAAAGAACTTCAGGTTGTAAAGGACCTAGAGGATGAAATAAGAAAATTAAATAACAAATTGTCTTCTGCCAAAGAAGAAAACAAAATTCTTCAGAAAGAGCGAGAATTGGCAAAAGTAGAAAAAGTCCATATAATGCAAGAATATGAAAATCTTAAATCTGAATTTAGTACACTTCAAAGTTCTGTTGCAGAACAAGATGCTCTCCTGAAAGAACAGGAGAAGAAGCTCCAGTCAAAGACATCACTACCAGAAGATGTTGTCAGACTACAGCAAGCACTGTTAGGTACAAAGATGATGTGTTTTTGTTTTTTTTTTTTTTTTAATATTTTCAGTATATCTTCACTGACTTTTTTCTTTAATACTCAGAATTTAAGAATTTGGAACCGAATATTGAGAATATGTACCTTTAAAAAGTTGCTGCTTTAGTAAAGGATTGTCCATTGAGGTAAGGCTAAGCAGGCATAATTAGAACTAGCCTGATTTTCATAAGGGTTTCTGATTAGCTAAGTGATCAAATCTGATGACTCTTTGGTGGGCTTTTCTTTCTTTAAGTAAAGCTCAATAGAAATTGTTTCTTTAAATTGTGAAAGTACACTTGTGTGTAAAGGTAGTCTGTTGGTATTGTCTTCTCCTTGAAGAAATACTGAAACGTGTTTGTTTAAGAGGTATATCTGTATGTAGAAAGTCTTTTAATGTTGCATAACTGATACTGTAGTACCAAAGTCCTATTAAAGTGGACTCGGTTGTTAAAGTAATGCTCTGCTTTGTGGTGGTATTTGATTGTACATTTGAGTTTTTTACAGCACTGTTGCTTATCATCACAAAATACTGTCAAACTATTTTCTTCTGAGTAGCAGAGTTCTGTTGGGGCAAGATGGGAGAATGATTTGGTTTTGTTGTTTGGAAAGTAGTAAAATTATGCATTTTTTTGTTTTCCTTTATAGAAGCAGAAAATGAAATAGCAAGACTTTCAAGTTTAAATCAGGTAAAGCAATTTCTAAATTAAGCCAACAAAAAAGTTCATGATAATAGTAACTGATGGAAAGCACACACTCTGGCACTGCATTTTTTTTGAGCATTCACACTTCTGCATAAATAACGTTGTAATAATTGTAGATTAATTATATAATTGCATGTGGAATTGGTAGAAACAATAAATTTTGACTTGTGAAACTCCACAGCATACTCTTAAAGAAAGCTAGTGGAGTTCCACCTATCCCATTGCTACTTAGGCTGCTGTAACGTATATATTTAAAGTGTTAGTAGTACATTCTGTAAAATTTGTCATATTTCACCTCCTCTGCTTTGGCATGTTTCAGTGTTGACAGTGTTATCAGTTCTAAAGTATCTCACTTCTTCCCTGTAGTACATTAATAATACTACATTCCATCTTACTGCTGGAGTTAAGCAGTGGAACATACAGCTTCTGTGAAACACCTTTAGCTAATGGCACAATTGACTTAATCCTTTAGAAACTTAGGCTTGAGAGATTTGGCTTAGTTTATTTTTTATCCAGTATTACTTATCAACTGGAGTCTTCTGTGTTCTGTTTGCGTTCAAGAGATCCCATGGCATGTTTCATAAGGATGTTATTTGTGTGTCCTTGATTAAAACTTCCTGACTCACACTACATGTTCAGGGTAGCTCTTGGAGATAAAATAGTTTATCCCAGCTGTGGATCGATACCTCAGAGGTGGATATAACTTTGCTTGTCAGACCCCATGGCTTTTTGTGCGGAAGTTTGTAAATTGCACTACTAAACTTAGTGATGAGCAAGTAAGTGGGTGCGTGTATGAATGGTAGGGACAAATACTTCACAATGAAGAATTTTTATCTGGGATAATAGTCATGTCGGCTTAGATATTCTAGCATAAAAATGCATGCTTTTTTTTTAATTACTGAGGGGAAAAAAAAGAAACTATTTCAAATCTAAACTGTTTGTAAATTTCAGCAAGATAAAGTCTAATATTTAGAAATTTTTTTTAACTTAAGGAGGGACTTGAGAAGGAACTGACAAGTGCACAACATAAAAATGAGGATATTCTTTCTGTGTGTACTGAGGATCAGAATTCAGAATTAAGTCAATTAAGACAAGATTTGGAAAAGAAAGAAGATGAATTAAATGAAAGTATTGCTGAAAGAGAAACATTAATAGCAGAGTTGGAAGAACTAGACAAACAGAATCAGGAAGCTACTCAGGTAATAAATATTGCAACTAGTTATTGAAACGCTAAAATAAATGTTTACATTTTTGTGCATGTGCATTTATCTTAAGTTGATCTTTGAACATATATAGCAGGGAAATGTTAAGTTATCCTCTGAGGCTTAAGAAGAATATTGGCACTAGTATTTCTCCATATCTGCCATCTCAATGTGAAATTCTAAAGTGCAGGAAACCTACTTGTTACAGACAAAGAAGTAATTTGGAATGTCAGCTATCCATAAGGGTTGTTACTTTCCAAAGTCCAGTTAAATACTGCTTGATTTTTCCTTGCAAGACTTTTGATGGTTTTTATCCTGATAATATTTTGACCTCTTGTCTTTTGTCAGTGTGTGTAACATGAATAATTTTTAAAACCTTTTTTTCTTTTCCTTTTATTATTTTTAATTATGTTGAGTAATTAAGTTACTTTATTACAAATTCGTCCTGATAAGAGCATTTGTGGAGCAAAAAAGCTACTGATTATATGTAATCAAAATAGAATTATACCTTTTTTGTCACTGTTCTGATGTATTTGACCTGTAAACATACAGTTGCAAACCATGTGTTTTCAATATTGGTTTACTTAGTGGAATTGAACATTCAAAGTGCTTTCCTATGAAATGAATCCCAGCAAGTGTGTTTAAAAATAAGCTCAAAGAAGAATTTGAAAATAGAATATACAAATATGCATTCACTTCTGTAATTTGTTATTTTAAATTTGGTGCCTCCCTGTTCTTAAGTGGTAGGTGTTTGCTGGTACCCATTCCAGTGGCTCTGACAAGTTCTGACAGTTCTCTTTTTGTTCCTTGATTTAGGTAGTTAGGATTTTTTGGGGGGAGATGGTGTTCCTGTTTTTAGTGAAATGTAATCTATCCCTATTTGATATTTGGTTTTGTTTAATTTAGCATTGACTTGTTGCTGCTACTTGCCAACTTACATTGGCAACTAGGAGATGTTTTTGTTTCCTCTCAATTTTTTTTTTTATTCTTCAGAGGATAAAAATGAATGAAATGCATAGTTTGGCTGATTCTAATGAATTCTTATTTGTGTTCATTTCAGCATATGATTACACTGAAAGAGCAGCTGTCAAAACAACACACAGAAACTGATAGTATCATCAAACAGCTGAAATTTGACATCGATGTTGAAAGAAAGAAAGTATCAAAATTAGAAATTGAGAAGATGGAAACTATTAAGGAGTTAGATAGTCAGAAAGAAAAACTAAGCCAATGTTCATCTGCACTTAATGATTTGCATATAAGCAAGCAGCATCTTCAAGATAATATTAAAGATCTTCAGGAACAATTAATGAAAGCCCAAGACTGTAATTTGCATAATGAAAAAAAAATTGGAGATTTACAGCAGAGACTAAAAGAGAAAGAGGAGGAACTTTCTGTATCCTTGAGAAAGTTAACAGAAAAAAGTAATCAGCAATCTAACTACACTTGTCAAGATCTGATGCTGAAAGAAAGAGAAGTAGAAATTGCAAAGTTGCAGAATGACATTTCAGAAAATAAACAACTAAATGAAGACTTAAAAAAATCTCTGTCTGATCTCAGAACAGAAAATGGAAAGCTGATAGCAGCCATTGAAGAACTAAAACAGGAGTTAAGTGATGCCATTTCTGAGAAAAATAAAGTTTACTTGGAAAAAGACACTGTTGTGGAGGCTTTGAAAATGGAAAAAAGAGAGTTAGAGAGTGAATTAAACCAGACAGAAAAGAGGCTTTTGGAACAAGCACATAAGTATAAGCAAACTATTGAGGAATTATCAAATGCACGTAGTATGGATACCACTGCATTGCAGCTTGAACATGAGCGCCTAGTTAAACTCAATCAAGAGAAAGATTTTAAGATTGCTGAACTTAAAAGAAGCATTGAGCAGATGGAAACTGATCAGCAAGAAACAAAAGAGATGCTGACTACTAGCTTAGGAGGACAAAAACAGTTGACAGAACTCATAAAAGAAAAAGAGATATTTATTGAAAAATTTAAAAACCAAGCCTTACAGGTGAAGCAGGAACTTGAGGAATACATCAACGTTTCAAAAAAGCAGGATGTCTTAAAACAGAACTTGGAGGAAAAAGACAGAAGCCTTGCAGTCATGAAGGAAGAAAATAATCATTTGAAAGAAGAAATTGAACGCCTGAAGGATCAGCAAAGTAGATCTGTGCCTGTGGTTGAGCCTAAAACTTTAGATATTATTATTGAACTTGAAAGTGAGGTAACACAGTTAAAAGTGATAAAGAATAATCTTGAAGAAGAAATAGAAGTTCTGAGAAAAACAATAGAAGACCAGAATCAAACAACAGTACAACTTCAGCAGTCTTTGCAGGAGCAAAGAAAGGAAATAGATGAGTCTAAATTTCAGTGTGAACAAATGAATGTCGCACATGAAAGACTTTCTTTAGAGAAAGATGAGGAAATTAAAAATTTGCAGAAAACAATTGAACAAATTAAAACTCAGTTGCACAAAGAGAGACAGATTATTCAGACTGATTCCTCAGATCTTTTACAAGAAACCAAAGTTCAGGCTCTTAATGGAGAAAATGGAAGTGAAAAACATGACTTATCTAAAGCTGAAATTGAAAGACTGGTAAAAGGTATCAAAGAAAGGGAGATGGAGATCAAGCTTCTAAATGAAAAGAATGTTTCTCTAAGTCAGCAAATTGATCAGTTATCTAAGGATGAAGTTGGCAAACTTACTCGGATCATTCAAGAGAAGGATTTAGAAATACAAGCTCTCAATGCTAGAGTTTCCTCAGCCTCCTATAGGCAAGATGTTCTTTGTCTTCAGCAGCAGCTGCAAGCTTATATTATAGAAAGAGAACAAGTGCTAGCAGTTCTAAGTGAAAAGACAAGAGAAAACAGTCAGTTAAAAACAGACTATCGTAATATTATGGATATGGTTGCTACTAAAGAGGCAGCTTTGTTAAGGTTACAAGAAGAGAATCAAAAGTTATCTAATAGATCTGAAAACAGCAGTCAAGACATGTCTAGAGAAACTATTCAGAATTTATCCCGTATCATTCGAGAAAAAGATATTGAAATAGATGCTCTAAGTCAAAAATGCCAAACCTTATTGACTGTCTTGCAGACATCCAGTACAGGTACTGATAATGGGTCAGGAGGTGTTAATAGCAACCAGTTTGAGAAACTTCTACAAGAACGTGACAAACTAAAACAGCAAGTAAAGAAGATGGAAGAGTGGAAGCAACAGGTAATAACCACAGTTCAGAACATGCAGCATGAGTCAGTTCATCTCCAAGAAGAGTTACACAAGCTTGAAGCACAAATTTCAGTTGAAAGTGATAGTAATTCAAAGTTGCAGGTAGATTATAATGGCTTGATCCAGAGTTACGAACAGAATGAGAAAAAGCTGAAAAGTTTTAGTCAGGAATTAGCACAAGTTCAACACAGCATAGGACAGCTTCATAACACCAAGGATCTCCTCCTAAGTAAACTTGATTTGGTAACACCATCTATGGCAACAGCTTCCACCGTTTCACAGCCCTCAGACATTCAATACAGTGCTCCTGAAGTACTCAGTGATGAGTCTAAACTTTTTCAAAAGGAGTTGGAACAACTGAAAAAAAAGTTGCAAGAAAAAGATTCAACTATTAGAACTCTTCAAGAAAATAATCAACGATTATCTGATTCTGTGGCTACAGCATCAGAGATTGAAAGAAAGAGTCAAGAAGGGGCTGAGTCAGAGATGAGACAGATCAAAGAAAAACATGATGTCTTACAGAAATCACTTAGGGAAAAAGACATATTAATTAAATCTAAAAGTGATCAGTTACTTTCTGTGAGTGAAAATCTTAGTAACAAAGAAAATGAAAATGAGCTTTTGAAGCAAGCTGTGACTAATCTTAAAGAAAGAAATTTAATTTTAGAAATGGATGTTCGAAAATTGAAAGAAGAAAATGAAAAAATAGTTGCAGGGAGTAGGGAAAAAGAAACAGAATTCAGAGCACTTCAGGAGACTAATATGCAATTTTCAATGATGCTGAAAGAGAAAGAGTTTGAGTCTCACTCAATGAGGGAAAAAGCTCTTGCTTTTGAGAAGCTGTTGAAAGAAAAAGAACAGGTATGTACATTCATATTTATGAATATATTTTAAAATTAGTCATGTGGTAATGCATTTCTGTGTATATGTAGCCATTGAATGTTTGCCTGGAATCCATTTGTGACTCCTTACTGCATTACACTGCAACAAAAATCCTCCCCCTGCAAAGTTAAGAAATTAAAAGTCAGCAGGTGAGCAGTTTACAATGTTATCTGTTAACTGTGCAGCCGTAAACTACATTTTTGATTTACCTGGAAATTGCTCATTTACTGAATGGCTGCTTAATATTTTGCTTTGACCCTGTTGTTCATTAAGTGCCCTGTGTTATTTTTACTGTATAGTGCTCAAGCTTCTGCAGGGTTGTCCAGTAGGACTAATTTTCCAATGTGCTTTTCTCTAGTGTTAGTCATTCTGTTGTGATTGCTTCACAACATCACTGTGAGATGAACGGATTTATGTATCTTGCTTTTATGTCTGTAGAAACTTCACTTCCAAAAAAAAAAAAAAAATTGGACAAGCTAAATTAGTGGTTTCGTCTCTACAATGTGGCATATGGAAAACTGAAACTTTTTTCAAAGCGTATCTTCGGAGAAAGGTTGCAGTGGCTTATTAGTTATTGCATATGTAATTTGAGGAAGAGTTTTAAGAGCAAAGAATAATGTGGCATCATTGATACACGTGTGAACAGCATGTTGTATGAACTGCTGCTGTTGGAGTTAACAAAGTAGTGTGTGAATTGCCATTTCTCTTTGAGAAATAGGCATTAAGTACAGTGCAAAAATCTTCCTCTAGTTTTGACAAATACTTAACAGCAGAACTGCAGCATGTAGTTATTTTTGGTTTGCTTTTTAGGCTCTGAAAGTGAGTATGTCCTAGTGGGCAGTATTTTCTGGTAATTAATTCCAAACAGATAATTTTATTTCTTTCCTCTGTACTGTCCAGGACCCCATTCTCTTAGTCTTGGTGGTTCTGGCCACCGTTCTTCAATTGTCTATTACATTTGTCCCCCTCCGTGCACACTGTTTATATTCTCCCTGTTACCTTTAGCATCCCTTGTCACTTCTGAAAGTTATGACCATTGCTCATTTTCAGAGAGTAGTTTTTATGCAAACCATTGCTAAGTAACTTAGCATTATTTTTCTTCCTGCTATAAGTGTAATAAAAAATTCCATAGAATCATAGAATGGTTTGGGGTGGAAGAGACCTTAAAGATCGTCTAGTTCCAACCCCCCTGCCATGGGCAGGGACACCTTCCACTAGACCAGGTTGCTCAAAGCCTCATCCAGCCTGGCCTTGAACACCTCCAGGGATGGGGCATCCACAACTTCTCTGGGCAACCTGTTCAAGTGTCTCACCACCCTCACATCTGTGAAGCGTTTTCAAAATAGCAACTAAATCTGCAACTGTAGTGTATTTGGAAAAGCAAAATATTAATTACATTTAACAATATGTGTCTTTTGGAATTTATCATTTGGAGGTCTCAACTTTGACATAATGTATGTGGAAACCTAGGATTTTTTTTTTAAGAAGTTTGACTTTGGACAGATGCTTAGCTGTTTGTTCATAGCAGAGGTTTCCCTATCCTGTTCTAAAGAAATACTCTAGAATTACAGTGAAAACTTTTAATGTCTCAAAGTACAGTTACATTGTGGGAAAATAGCTTTGAATTACCATTGGACTTTTTATTTTCATCAGACTTGCCCATATAAAATATACTAATACTTTACAAGTTCTCACTATTGCTGTTTTGGTTTTTTTTTTTTTATTCTAACTCATGCAAGTCTGCACTTTCTGTCTAGGTTCTCAGTGTTGTGTGTCTTTGACTTGCAGACATTCCCTTATTGGTGGCTTAGACTTTCAGTTTCACAAGCATGGAACGTTTGTCTGGCCTGGTTTTTTGTTTGGTTGGTTAGTTGGTTTTTTGGGGTTTTTTTTGCACAAATCAGGGAAGTTCCTGTTACATGCTTTGTGTTTGGCATGGAGAATTAGGAAAAACAGTATTCAAACAGTTCTGTATTTTGTGTGCGTGTCAGAAGACATAAAAAGAGAAAGTTTGCCTGCAGGTTTGTGGTTCTACTGAAAAAAGAATTTTACTATATTCAGTTTGATTAATAAAAACAAGTAATTGAAGCTCATAAGTACTAGTGATAAAAACAAAGTGGTTCACTTTTATCCAACATATTCAAAAAAAGTAACGGCTTTCAAAACAACATAGAGACAAAAGATAATGAGCACATTGAAAAGTTTCAAACAACTGAAAAGGCATTCACGTGTACACATGAATTCCATGTAACTGTCATACTCACACTTCTTTATATGCTAACATAAAATTGTAGTAAATTGCATTCAAGTGGGACCAATATTCGTTGAAATTTGACATCTGAAAATGTGATGGACATTGGTGTGGTTCATTGAAGGCTAAACTTTGGATGTGAGGTCATCTTGTGGTTTCTTTTTAAAAGATTTCTCCATGTGTTTAGTCGTCTTAAGTTCAGACAAGTTGATCTACCTAGGTTGATGCTTTACATGTGTATGGCCTGATAAAAAAGTGTCACAGAGAACAGATTCCAGACACTTGGGGGGAAAGTAAAGTTTTCAAGTATACGAGTGTCTGAGACACTCAGTATGTAATACTGAAAACAGGTAGGTACCTGATTGTGCACAGCAGCCCATTAAGACAATGCGTCTCTATAGTGTCTTTTAGCAATAACTTTGTCATGTAACATGTAAACAAAATAACTTCAAAATAGTATTTTCCCTGAATGTTTTTTCTATTCTGTAGGGCCATAGGTGTCCTGCCATTTTTCTTCTTATAATCGGTATAGTGTTTACACTCTTGTGGGCAAAGACTGTCTCCTGTGGTAAAACTATTTGCCACATTTGAAATGCTTGTTTGTGTCTTCAACAGGGCAAGACAGGAGAGTTGAATCAACTGTTAAATGAAGTTAAATCAATGCAGGAAAAGGCTGTTACTTTTCAGCAAGAGAGAGACCAGGTCATGGTAGCACTCAAACAGAAGCAAATGGAGAGCAGTGCGCTGCAGAGTGAGGTACACCGCCAAATATTTTATAGTTGCAAGAAATCAAAAGACAAAAAAAAAAAAAGAAATTGCGTCTGTAATATTTTCTGGATTATTTTTGGTAGCAATAACTTGTAAAAAGCATTTAAAATCAATACATGTGCAGTGTACTTCAATGGACATGTTTTATGTTTGCTTAAATTATTTTTATGAAAGGTGATTGTATGAGCAACTTAAGGTGTGTTCTACACAGATACAACATTTACGTGAGAAAGAGCAGCGCTTAAATCAGGAGCTGGAGAGGTTACGTAATCACCTCTTAGAAATGGAGGACTCCTACACGCGAGAAGCTTTAGCTGCAGAAGACAGAGAGGTCAAGCTAAGAAAGAAGGTTTTGGTTTTGGAAGAAAAAGTTGCGTCCTCATCTACTGCAGTGGAGAACGCCAGGTAGTCTTTTAATTTTTACAGCAGTGGCATTGGCTGTAAATATCACAGGCTGGTACTGATGGCTTTATTTTGCTGAATTACCATCCTATAACATGCTAAACACTTGAGAAAACAAAAAGATAGCAACTTTTGTTACTCTAAATCAGGAAGGTGATTTGAAATATACTTGGCTACTGTTGAGAACTTAAGAAGGTATTTGTCCTTTTAGTAGCAACTATTGAAACGTCACATCTTTGACAGTGCTTAGAACTAGAAACAACAAAAATCCCTCAACCCATCAATTTAGCTACCTGTCAAATCAAAAAAGATGGACTTAACTTTTAAGGCAAGGCTTCATTCAGTTCGAATTGGCTCTAGCCAATTGTGGTTTTTTATTTATTTGGCATAATCACATTTTTTCAGCCAGAACAATGAAAACCCAAGTATTAAAACTACTCAATTCCTATCTTGACAGCTTTAATATAGTTTTATTTAAAGGAATGTTGGCTACTTTGGGCAAAATAATTATTTTTTCATCTTAGTACGGTTGTCCAAATGAACAGTTATTTTGATCAAAAAATAAGTACGTAGCTGCAGTCTTTCCTTTTTTTCTTGAAGTGCCAAAGATGGATTCTGCTCCTAGTGTTCTCATCAAAGAGATTTGAGTTGAGTGGAATTTATGAAAAATAGTGGAGAAAGTGGAAGAGTTGTGAGAAGGTTATATAAAAACTATTAATCAGAATGTTTCTTAATTCTTCATCAAATGTGTCAAATACCTTTTAAGAAATGCTCCCTATTTGCCCCCTGATATGCACTCTTTATTTAAAAAGGCTGGTATAGGAGTAAATCAGTGTCATGGTTTAACCCCAGCTGGCAACATGCACCACACAGTCACTCATTCGCTCCTCCCACAGTGGGATGAGGCAAGAGAATTTTGTATAATGGGAAGTTAAATGGGATGTTCGGTGGTAAGTGTGGAGCAAGATACACCAAGTTCTTGGAGACTGGCTTTAAAAGTAAAAATTGGTAGAAAGACCTATTGATTCATTTAGTATTTGAAGCAGACAATTAGCAAGATACGGATTTTAGTAAAGATACTGTTACAATAACAAGCAAAAAAGATTTTTTTTTTTAGTTTTCTAACGCACTTCAAATGGAAATAGGTTCAGGGTTTTTTAATTGCCAAAATTTTATTACTAGACTTATTTAAAATCTATTGTTAGGTTGTTTTTTGGTTTGTTTGGTTTTGGGTTTTTCTGTAAGAGGAATCAGGAAAAAAAATGCCTTCATTTTTATAAATTGAGCTGAAAAATTAAAGGTAGGCTATTTTTGCTGGGATTTACTTTTCTCTGTGATGACTTCTGGTTTTGTCTTCATAAATAATCTATTTTATTTTCATTAAGTCATCAAGCTAATCTGCAAGTTGAATCTTTGCAAGAGCAATTAAACCTGGTTTCCAAGCAGAGGGATGAAACTGTGATGCAGCTCACCATCTCACAGGACCAGGTGAAGCAGTATGCATTGTCGCTGACCAACCTGCAGATGGTACTAGAGCAATTCCAACAGGGTAAGTTTTGTCACGAAATTGCAAAGATTGCAACAAGTGTTTTTCAACTGGGATAGTTACCATATTTTGGAGCTTTTTAAATATTAGTTACCTGGTTTCCTTTTTGATAGCTTGAATTGCAGAAACTGTTGGTTTTTTTAAAACTTATAAAAAGACTTCTGTCCCAGTGAAAACTGATGGTCAATATCCCATTTGTGAAATTTCGATTCTACCCCTACCTCATGAAGACCAGATATGATAACGCTGAGGCTTTTTAATTGTGCATCCCAAAAAAGAGTTATGTTGAGAATCAAGATTTTTTGTCTTGTTTTGTATTTTTAACCCTCTAGAAGAAAAATCTATGTATTCAGCAGAACTGGAGAAACACCAGAAACAGACTGCAGAATGGAGGAAAAAAGCAGAAAACTTAGAAGAAAAAGTTGTATCACTGCAGGTGGGCTGAATAATGAAATTGAACCCTACGAAACTAAATGCAAATTCTTGACTGATTTTTTTTGTTTTAACTGCTGTGTTAAGTATTGCTGTCTAAGAATACATCAAGTTATGTAATTATTCTTTCTTACTTGGAAGAGAGGGGGCCACTAACAGAGGTCAGCAAAGTAGCATTCCTCTGCTGACCATCCCATTTCTGGGGATATTTACAATCCAGTTACTCTAAAGAACAAGTGGTTGAAGTCTCTGCATCTGTTATGTTTGATCTGTATTGTATTAGCATAATGGTGGTAGTGAACACTCTTGCTTCTCTTTTTGTCCCTTTCCTGTCCTCTATTCAGGAAAGTTTAGGAGAGGCAAATGCTGCACTGGATGCAGCATCAAGACTTACTGAGCAGCTTGACATCAAAGAGGAGCAGATTGAAGAGCTTAAGAAAGAAGGTAACTACTTTTTTTTTTTTTTTAATCCCTGCTTACAGCGTTCCAAGCAGCTGATGAGACAATTCCTAGAAACTTACCAAAATTCATCTCCTATGAGGAAAAGACTAATTCTGTGCTGTCTTTTGAGGACATCCGTGTTTATAAAGCAAACTTGAAAATGTATGTTTACATTCTCTTAGGGATCTTTCTCAAAAGAAAGCTGTGTAGTAGTTGGTTTTGGTTTTTTTTCTCCCCAAAGATACCAAAGCCTTTGATTTAGCTCTGTAACTGTGTTTTGAAAAAGTTTGTGAAATATCAGGTGTTGTCAGGTTTTCCAGAGTAACTACCTACCATATTTGACATAGACAGAGGAATACAGTGAGGTAGAGAGAAAGGGTGTGCTGTTGGTAAGAGATCTAGAGGGAGCAGCTCTTGCACAGGTGTGAGAGTGTCTCGAGATTATGTGGAAGGTCTTGGACACATCTTTAGATTGTATTTTTAGATCTCACTTCAAATAAGCTTCCTTATTGCTCATATTTAGATGCTTTTTATATTCTTCTCAGATTAAGTACTCTTATATTTGATGAAAGTCATTACTTTGGATTTGAAGACAAAACTTGGCTAGATGGTAGAGGAATTTTCCAGAAGAAACAATTTTGAAAGGGAAGAATGTTTATGGTGGGGGTGGTCAGCCATTGGAATAGGTTGCCCAGTGATGTGGAGTGTCTATCCATGGAGATACTCAAAACCCAACTGGCCATAGTCCAGGACAGCCTGCTGTAGATGAGCCTTCTTGAGCAGAAGATTTGGACTAGATGATCTAGAGGTCTCTTCCAACATAAATGTTTGCTTGATTTTTGTGATTCTGTGAATGTTTTGCGGTGTGCTTTTGTTTTATTTTTCTTCTTTCTGACATCATTGAAACATGGATTCGGTAAGAGATGCATAGGCTTCTCTTTCACAAGCACGTTTAGTGTTAAAACTAGGAAAGTGTAAAAAGGCAGAATAACCTTTTAGTAAAAACTGTTATCATTTCAATGTATTTCTGTTTTATGGCCTTAGGCTATTTAATCAAATGAAATGGAAGAAATCAGGGTGTTTTCTGTGCAATGTATTTGAATATCAAACATCAGTAAGATTTGTAAGTTCAGTCTCAGTTGGAGGTGACAAAAAAAATCATATGAGTAACATAAGGTCACTTTTTTTTCATTACTGCATTAATTTTAGTTTTCGTGAGAAAGGAGTTGCAGCATTAGCTAAAGCAGGACTTAGGACTAATAATAATTTTGGTGGATTTCTGTACTCACGTCTCAGCCCTGATTTGTAGTTTTGCCTGCAATGTTTCATTGAACCAAGAGGGAAAGTTATTTCTGTGTCTTGTTGTATGACAGTTCTGATATGGGTGAGCTTACTAACAGTACTGACTGCTGAGGGGATATTAGGCTTTTTTTATTGTCTTCGCCTGTCTTTTCTTCCTCCATTTTCCCAACAGAGTCCTACTTTCTCTTTTCCTCTCTATTTCTGTGGGTCACCATATTTTGCTATTAGTGCAGCATCCTCTGTAATGGTCAGCTTTTACTGAGCACATGGGATAAATCTAAAATCAGAGGAAAACTTGTGATTGGTCCTTGAAGTGGCTCTAAAAAGGCAGCTTGAAGAGCAGAGGTTTGCTTACTCTCTGTCGTTACTTAACAGCTCTTACTTTCTGGGTTTTTATCCCTGTATCTGTGGAAAGTTTTTGTGTGAATGCCTTTAAGGCTTACTGGGGGAAGACATGGAACATCATCTCTGCTGGATGCAGTGGTAACTCTTGCTCTGGACATATACAACTAATTATTGCTATTCATTTTTAAATTACAATTTATCTTTTGAAAAAAATTGTATTTTCTTAAATCATACTTGCTTACAATCAGATGGTTGGTGTCAAAAGTCATTTGAAAGTCTCCACAATCTCAGAAAGAACTCTATAAAAAAAGTTACAGCTTTTCTACTATATAACTGAATGTGTGCTTATATTTAGTTGTGTCTAAGTGCAATTTGGCGTCCAGGCAGGCGTCATAGGAGTGCTCCCTGAGTTCACATATGAATTTTACAAGCTAAATTAAATTTCAAGCTGCTACATACATATGCAACTAAATACTGATTTGATTTGAATGGACTCATCTGTATATCAGTCTCACTAAAGACATTCACAGAAAAAGTTTCCAAGCACTCTGGATTGAAATTAACTCAGGCATAGGCAAATATGGCACTTTTAAACGGGGAGCTTTTCATTACTGGTTACTTTTGACTGCAACCCTTTGCCTATGAAAGCAGGAGGGATTTGAGAGAAAACGGAATCTCAGTGTTTTATCAAGCTATGTTACACTGGCAAGCGATTTACTTGTTAAAAAAATTGAAAAGGGATTGTTACATAAAGGAAACCGCACTTTAATTTTGTTGTAGAATAAATCATAATTTTTATTGGGGGAAAAAAAAAAAAGAGACCACTCCGTTTTCTCTATTTACACAAGAAAACATACAATGTCGTATTGAAAATTGGCCAAATACATTCCCAGACACAGTTTTCTTGGCCAAATCTTTTGAAGGATTTCTTTATGGATTTTTTTGGCAGGAGAAGTGGTTTTAATGGAAAAGTATAAGATGTACCAGATGCAGTTTTCTGGATTGCCATAAATGGTTAACAAATTATTGGAGACTGTTGTAAATGTCTGGTTTACAGCAGTCCATGCTGAATTTTGGCTCCGGTCTTTTTTGTTGTTCAGTCTTTTCATGCACACGAAGTACGTGTTTAAGTCCTTCTCAACTGTGAGATTCTAGTTCAGAAGGAAACATTCCATTTAAAAAATATGTTTAATGACAAAGTTGCATAGTCACTGTGGATGGAATATAGCTGTGTAGCTGTCCTTAAAAGTTAGTCCTCTTTGATATAAAATCTTTTTGTCAGGAGAAAATAGAAAACAACAGTAACATTTCATTTAAATTAAATTGACAAGGAAACTCAGGATTGTTTTGCTTTGTAGAGCAATAGCAACAGCATGAGATTTACTTGAAACTTGTTTTCAGGTGCTGTTTGTTTCTTTTTGTGGTGTTAGTAGTTTAACTTTTTTTTAATTCCCTTTTACTCTGTGGAGACCCAAATAACAACTCAGCTTCCATGTATGCTCCTACAACTGTTGTCATTCCATAATTATATTGCAAATATTTTCCTTCAAGTCTTGGGGACCTGTTTAACCACATTTACAATGTAGCATAATCTTAAGTAAGTTTAAACCTTGAAACCATGAATTAATTCTCCTGTGCCTCACCTTGGTGTTTTGAGAGAGAAGTGTTGAAGAGTCACATTATTGGAATGGGTTTTGGTGCATATGGATGTAGTTGTTACAAGATATATTGTTGTATAATATATATAATTTTGTTTGGGTTTTAATAAGTTTTGAATAAGGAGTTTAATCCTTCTGTTCCTTGACTAAGAACTTTCTCAGCATAACACTAGTTAGTTTGTTCTACTCTGTACTCTTTAAAACTCATATTTATGAAGTAAAATGTTTATATAAAGATGTGGAGTATTTGAAAGGACACATTAGGTTGTATCCATTTCACAGTCTAGCTCTTTGATGTATGTATACGAAAACTCTGTGAGGGTTCTCATGGAGTTATTGGCATTAATTGAGAACCATGTTGTGTCAACATAGTTGTGACAAGCATTTATTAAAGATTGAAAGTCATGTGGAAACTAGAGTGGAATGTTTTTCATGCATCTGAGATGATTTGGAGAGCATAAAAATTTAGAAGTCACTTTTCTTACTAAGAGGTTGAGGCTTTTTAGAGAGTAACTACGAGACTGATACAAGAAAAGCGTATCTTTTGTGGGTTTTGTTTTGCTTTTTAGGTGAAGTACTTTTAACTAGCATGAGCCCAAGAAGTGTTAAGATGGTAGGGAAATGAGGTTGAGTGGCAGTTTTTCCATAGGATTTGAAGGAAAGGATTCACTCTTATAGAGGGAGAGGAGAAAAAGCTCATCCTGTAGGATAGAGTTGGTCTTCATAAGTGCAGTCCATGTTAAAATATATTGGTCAAGCCTTGTGTATGTTTAAGACTTACTTGTACTTTTATTAGGGAAAAAGTAACTTCAAAGGCAGTATCTTGCAGCTTGGTGAAAAATTGTATTTTTGCTGTCTTGAGGTAAAGCCATTTTTAGTTTATCTTCTAAGAGATCTTCTAAGAACTGTTTGTACCTGGTAATTATTTATTTTCTTGTCTGAGAACATTTTACTGACGGTGTTCTTAAGTCTTGTGTTTGGGGATTGAAGGGAGATGAATTTTTGTAGCACTTTTTACTCTGTGTGTTTTGTACAAACTTGTGTAGACCTGAACGTCAGAAACTTTTATCCAGTTTCTAGTGTATCTGAGTTTTTATAAAGAGAAAACTTGGGGCTTTGTTTCCTTACAATCAGAATGTTGGAAAATATTTATGACAAGTAAAACTTTTAGGAGAGTTTTTTTCTTTATTGTGAGCTTTATTTTTGTGAGTTTAGTGGGAGGTCCGAGGAAGCCTGAGTTACTGACACAGAATGGTTGGGGTAATTGGGTGTATTCTGTATTTGAGTTAACAAGTAATTTGTATTAGTGGAATTGTAGAGAAAGTGGTGCTGTGAATTTTTTGGGCAAGAGCAAATATAACAATATCATGCCATGGCTCCTTCTAATGAAATGGGCTACTACATTTGTATCTCCCTCATTAAACACTCTGATGTCGTGAGGCTCAAGAGTGTAGATAGTAGACGAATCGTTGATTAAGGTCAGGAGTTTCAGAAAGCTGAAAAGTTATAGCACTAGTGAATGTAGAATCTAAACTCCCTCTTACTCTTCTAATAGTTTCTGTTTCAGGCTTGTGGAGAGGAAAAATAGGGTCCTTTGTGTAGGCCAAGAATGTCATTATCAGCGTTGTGATATCTTAGATGAACTGATTTCATTGCAGACATTACAGAAGTTGGAGTCAGTGTGCAAAAAAAAAGGCAGAAAATCTGTGTAGTGACTTCCAGCACACTCCTAGACAACCTCTTATTAATTAACTTACAGTATTGTCCGTATTACAATAATATGATGCCTGACTGAAAGTGTTTGCCATTTTCTTCTCAGTTTTTTCTTTGTGTTATGGTGCCTGTGGAATTTATTCTCTGCCATTTTTAACAATGTTTGTATTCCCAGAAGTATGGGGAATCTTGCATAAATCTCTGCAGAACCTTTCTTGCCAGTACATGGAATTGTGAATCGCAGCAGTGGTTCTAGGATGTGTTAATGTGTCCCAGTGTGCTGTTCCAAGAGCTTGCATCAGTTAATAGGGGTGTGGAAGGTCATAACAGAAGAGACAAACTCATAACAAGTTACTGATGTTGCTCTGCTAGCCCGTAATTCTGGGAGACTGGAGAAGCCCTTAGTACTTCAAGGCTTTAGCAACCTGATATTAGAGTATGCAGAATGGCTGGATTTAGGAAATAATTCAGGTTAAGTGCTGAGATCAAAAGACATGTAATTTGGTCAGATGATTAAAAAGATTGCCACAGGACTATAGACCTTGATCAAGAGTTTCTTTCCAGTCCTGTTCTATCTAGGTGGAAAAGAGCAGTTTATCAGACCTTCTTAAGCTGATCTATTTTCTGTGTGTTCCTGTACTTTAGCATTGAGTATCATTCTGGAAATTTTAGCTTATGATTTCAAATAATAATTACTTATTAAGCGGACACGTTTTTTTAAAAAAAGGGGTTTTTTAAGGTGTTTTGTTTAAACAAAAAGCACCATAACAATATTAGCATATTTTTTATTTCAAAATGTATGTAGTATTAAGTTTTGCAACAAAGGTTCAATTTTTGTTTATTTGCTGTGATATAATGTTTTGCAGGTGAGATCAGAAGAGAGATGTTAGAAGATGTACAAAACAAACTAATGAATCTTGTGAACAGCACAGAAGGAAAAGTAGACAAGTAAGTCTTTAATGAGAGACTTGGTATACATTTTTGGTTTTTATTCCTCATAATGTACAGATAAATTACTAACACAGTTGCAAGAGTAGTGCAGAACTGGGCTTCTGTATGTGATCTTGTAATTATACTTCGATTATTTTGACATTTTTCCATTGCTTGGTGGTTGTAAATAGTAATTTTGATTAGTAAAACCATTGTGTATGTAAATTTGGATTACTTAAGTGTTTCTTAAGTAGAACCACACTTCAATAGCATGAGCTCCGCAAATGGAGATAGAAGTTCGTAATGAACATCTGTTATAATGTCTTAAGGTATGAACAGCAAGCCCTTTCATGTAGCTAGTATCACCTGGATGTTGTATAAATCTGTTCTCCTTGGTCTTTTTTTTTTTTTTTTTTCTTCTCTTTACCTGTTACAACTGAAACAGGGATAGGCAAATGGGTTCCCCTGTCCCCTTCCTTACGTCTTGATTTGATTTGGGGCTGCACATTAGTATTTGTTTAAATGCTCTCTTGAATCAAGGAGAATCTTAGAATAAACATTTTCCCTGATTCTAGTACTTACATCAAAACTTGCTCGTTTTATTACTTTTCACCTTACTGCATACAATATTTCTAATACTGTCCAAATTGACACTTACTGTATAAGAAATACTGTAACTTATGGGGGAAGGAAACTGGTGAGATACCCTTTTAGTTCCTTGTATTAGATTTGTTTATTTGGATTATTGTAAATTAGGCAAGAGTATGAGGAATAAATACATCAATATTACAGTATCAAATGTGACATCGGAGCAGGTTGTATAACGAGCTTCTTCTGTTCTGCAGGCTCCTCATGAGAAATCTCTTTGTTGGGCATTTTCATACTCCAAAAAATAAACGTCCTGAAGTGTTAAGGTTAATGGGAAGTATCTTGGGAATAAAAAAGGAAGAACTCGATCAGGTAATTTGCAGAAAACTAGACTTCCCTTTTTATTTGCAGTATCCTTAACTGAAAATAGGATTACTTGCTGCTAAACTAAATGTGACAGTCACTGCTGTTCGTGTGGGGAAGGTATGGTTTGGTTTTTTTTGTTCTTTCATCTGAATTCATTTTTCCTGTGCAGGACATGCTGATCTTAATGGAATCTTTTGATAACATTATTTTAATAAAATGGATCCAATTTTGCTGAGGAGTGCTACAGCAGAAAGGAAGAGATTTAACTTTGTGCTGTTGTGTATAATAGCTGTAATATGTCAGTTACAGAAAAGTAAGCCAGTTCTATATGTACTACTAGGTACTGTTAAGAATGCAAGGCTTGTATTTTTAAAGAAAGAGACAGGTTTTTAGACTGACAGTCTTTGGAAGGCAGAGAATAAATATATAAATATATTTCTAGTTATAGAAATATATCAATTTATTTTCTATCAAACTATATATATATAAATTTATACTATAGAAATATATTTATGGTGAATTTATATAATGAGCATAATGTTGCAGTGTCTTTCTTTTATCCGCTGCTCTATTTTTGTTTCCTAACTTTTTTTTTATACTTTCTAGTTGTTATGTGAAGACCAAAGAGGAGTTACGAGATGGGTGACTGGCTGGCTTGGTGGAGGAGCTGGGTCAAAGAGCGTCCCTAGTACACCTTTGAGGCCAAGTCATCAGAACATATTTAACAGTGTAAGAATTAATTGTGCATTCTCCATGCAAAAAATGATGCAGTTGCATATTAATGCTGATGTTTGGTTTATCAGTATGTTGAGCTTTATTTACTGATACTACCATATCCTGCATTATTTGTTTGTTTTCTGCGACTGCTTTGGCATAAGGTTTTTTTCTGCATTAAATAATATGTAGGCATTGATGAAACTTATACAATACTAAGTGTTGGGCTAATAAAGAAATCCAATTACTGTTCCACTGGTTCCTGGGGTCACTGACATCTTACAGTACGGACTTTAACCTCCAGCACTGTCAGTTTGTAAGATAAATACATTTTGGAGTCTGGAGTTCTGCAATACTCAACAGTATAGACCATGACATAGTATTTTGATGGCTGTGTTCCCATATGTCCTTTAAATTTCATTTGAAAAGCTTTCTTGCCTGCTGCAGCTAATGCCTCTTTTGTACAGCATCTAAAGCTCATGTTTTAGTCTTTCAAATACTGTAAAGCAACAGTTCTCATAGCATGGTGCAGCAGTTAATCTATGGAACTTCCCATTTTGCAGGCCAGTAAATAATGCACTCGAGGATAGAGCACTGAGGGATTGGGCTTTTTGGATTAACTTTGTTTTTTTGCTCGTAAAAGCATGTTGAGAATTTATTCCTGTAGATTATCTTGGAAGTGTAGGGATTTTTTTTTGCCCACTAAAATAATGCAGCCACTTAGGCCACCAGAGGATTTCGGTCTGATTAACTGTGGATGTAAAAGAGGAAAGTTAATGCTTTTGTGGGTATAGTATAGGCTTTACTAAGCAAAATTTTGTCTTGTGATGTTACTGACACTCCACTAGTGGTGGAAGTATGTGTATTATCTTCAGAGTTCATCAACTTCGCATAAATATCACTTATTGAGACAACAAAAAACTGTGTATTTATAAAATAAAATTTAATTGTTACTCATTAAGGACTGCTTAGTAGCAAGTACTAAGTATCAGTACAAAATTCTTTGGAGGCTGTTGACAGCTTTTCATTTCATATATTGTATGTATTTTTAACTTACATACTTTTCAACAGAACATCAGTAAAAAATAATAACTAGTAGCCTCTTGTAGTCTTTTTCAGAATTGTTTGTGAAATTCCTTGAAACAGAATCTTGCCCAGGCCTCCCTCCACCTAAGCTCTCTGTTCATGATATGAAACCTTTAGGAGCAGCAGGAACTGGTAAAACTAGCAGTACTCCATCCAACAATCAAATGCAAGGTAACACTTGAAGCAAAATTTGAATCTTTACACAGAACCATAAATAACTAAATGTAGAATTTTCAAGGGGATTTCAATGTGCTTCGTCACTTGGGAACTATAAATTTAAATTCTTCTCCCCCTGTCCCGCCCCCCTTCCCCCTCCCCCAATTTCTTCCTTTTTTTTTCTTTACTCCTTTCCCCACCCCTTCTTACGCTGTCTCTATATGTCACTTCCTAAAATCTCTGTACAGAAAATTAGAGAGACCAGATTTCCTTTGATATGGAAAGGCTTTAACAGCACCTGTTAGAACCAATCAGATGCTGTGCAGACAACTCCATATGGTATCGGTGAACCCAGTCCTGATTTTCAGCATCCCTGGTGATCAGCTTGGGTCTCACTGAGTGAAGAATGCAAGTAATACCAACCTTCTAGTGCCTGTCTGATGCGTAGAAACTGGTTGCTCCGAGAGGACCGAAATAAAATCGGTTAAGTATATGGCCAGATTTGAGATCTCTGTATGATGTGCATGAGTGTTAACTTTTGATTTTTTGAAGGCACAGAACAGTTATGCTCTTATTATGCATGTTGAAATTAATCCACTTTTGTCTAAGTAATATAAGATCCAAATCTTCAGTTTAACTGGTCCAATTAGTACTAGACTTTTTATGTGCATTTAAGACTTCACCTTAATACAGTCCTACTGATTTGCAGAAAATTGTTTTAGTTAAAACTTTTAACTGTAACCTCAAAAAAAACCCAAACCTAAAATCCCATGTATTATATAGCTCTACAGAGAGAGAGAGAGAGATATGCTAAAAACCCCTCTTTCAATTAGCTTAAAGTAGTTGGATGTTACAAAGTATAAATGCCTACTGTAAAATACTAATTTATCTGTGAAAACAGTATTAATTTAGGTTTACTTAAAAAAAAAAGTTTACTTTTCTTTTTACTCTTCTCCCATGTAGTATAACAGTAATATAATAGGTAAAGTACCTATTTTAATTGGCAAAAAACCAATTTCCTTGTCTGGAAGAACAAAATTATTGGTTCCTTTTGTCCATTCAGGAGCTAAATTGCTGGCTTGTAAAACTAAACACCCATTTTAGATACCCCTTTAATTGTTTTGGTGCTTTAGGTTTTTTGTTCCTAGAAATAAACCATATGGCAGGAGATTTTAAGTGCTGGACACAGATGTCAGTATAATATCCACAGAAATGCATTTATGAGAGTTAGGATGTTTACATGATGAAAGACTTTTTTAAAACAAAAAAAAACCTGAATAAAATCACCCATCCAAACAATTAGTATGATATGGGAATGTCCGTTAGTTTTCTGCTCTGCATCTGGTGTAGGAACCTTGAGAACAGGTTACATCTGGAGCTGAGTGAGGACTTGCTGGGAGAAGGTGAGGAGGGGCAAGTTGATTGTTAGATTGAAAAAAAAACCCAGTTTATTAATACTTTATTAAAACTAAAATTTTGTTAAAATATGACTAATGAGCAAACATTAAATTTTGTCTCAAGACTAAATTGTGACACACTGTGGTGCTTATTTATAGGGGTTTTCTTGGGGCTGACCCTGGGAAAGCTGTGCCAGTACACCGTGGGGTGGGAAACCCACCTGTGTGCTGCATCATAAAGCATGTGCAAGAGTGCTTACCCCTTTTCATAGTGTTGGGGTTGTTGTGACAGATATTTCATGTCTGACATGACATGTGTGAAGTGAACCTTTGCAAAGGGTGTTCATGTTGCCTGTCTCAGGTGTATAGATTTTGGGGGTAGCCTGAGCTATTGCTGAATCTCAGCTGCAAACAAGCACAATGTGGTTGGCAGGTCCTGGGAATCTTGAAGTCAGTCTTGTAGCTGGTGGCCTGAAGTGTAGACAAAGGAATTGTTCAGCAAAAGAAGCAGTAGCGGATGAGATCCAAAATGAGAGAAGGCAAAGAGAATGAAGGAGCATCTACACTCCATGGCAGAAAGGCAGGATTTTAATGTTGCAACAGTAATAGGCAATTTTAGAACTTGTTTGTGAACAAATGCTGTAAAATTGGGTAGACTTATGAATGCTTCCTAACAAAGTGTTTTTGTTGTTGGGTTTTGGTTTGTTTTTTTTAACATTTCAGATACTGCAGTCTTGGGAACAAGTAGAAGACCAGATGCAAACCCATTTTTAGCACCTCGATCTGCAGCAGTGCCTCTCATAACACCTGCTAGTAGTTCTGGACATCTGCTTATGAAACCTATTTCTGATGCGTTGCCTACTTTTACACCACTGCCAGTGTCCCCTGATGCCAGTGCTGGTGCTGTACTGAAAGACCTCCTAAAACAATAGATGATCTTGTATCAATATGATGATAGTAGCACTTTATGGAAAATGAGAACACTATGCTGTATATAATTTACCATAATGAGGCCTTCTGTAAAAAGTCATGTACTTGTTTGCAATTGTATCTTGCTTTTCTTTTAATTATGATCTAACTAGTGCTTTGGAAAATCTAATAGTGGCATTAATAACTGCCTTCTTTATAGCAAGCATTTATTTTGAGTGTGGGTTAAACCTTAAACTGAGGGGGGGGGAAAAATCTATCTTGTTGCTAGATTGTGACAAGACAAGTAGAAGGATTTTTAAACTGTAGTTGCACTTTTGAATTGTTTCTGTTATGCACAGACAGTATTAACTCTTTGGTGTTGAGATATGTTTTTCCATTAAAACAGTCTGCCATTGGCAATGGGCCTTCAAGAACCAGAATTAAAAAAAAAAAAAAGAATTAGAAAAAAATTCCCCAGTCAAAATTGATCGTATTTGAGAAGTTCAATTAATGACAGAAACTCCAAAGAATAAGACAGTGAGCATATGGGAGTGTGATTATTGAGCAGCTACAGTCTTCCCACACATGATTTATGACATTTACTCAGTGTATTAGGACATGTATCTCTTATTTACAGGATTGGACACATTTAGGGACAATTTGAGGCATATTAATCTCTTTTTGCACAATTATTTGATTCTGTGCTTCCTGGCCCCCCATCTAATAGCTGCTTTCACTAGTCAAACCTGTCAGCACCAAGGAGTTAACTGTCAGAGTGAGTGCTTCATTTTCTAGAGGTGTGCACGTGATGAAGAGCGGGTAGCTAGCAAAAGTTAGGTTCACATATATAAAGACACTGTACTCTAATGGTCTAAGATGTATATTTGAAAAACTTTTATCTTGCAGGATTTTGTAGATCCAAACACAGGTTTAAAGCTTGAACCCATGTATAGAATTTAAAGGGAAGAAGATGTTTACTTATCTCAAATGTGTAAATAGGTCTTTGTAAGACCAAGGCCAAAGTCAATTATTCTGTAAATTTTGCTGTGATAACTTGTACACTTTGTTTGGCAGATAAGGAATGAAGTTGCATACTAAAGGATAAAAGTCATCTTGTAAAAGTCATCTTCATAGTGAATCTGAGATTACACATTTTAAACTGAAGATGTTTTATTTCTAAATCTTTTTATATGCCATTCCCTGTTTAGTCCGTGTTAAGATAACTGTTGTGCAAGTTCTATATTAGAACTGTCAACCTTTGCATCTCATTTTCATTAAGATCCTGATTTAAATTGTTGTAAGAGTTATATTTAAATAAATTAGTTACTGCAACTTGTACAGAATCAACCAAAATAATGCAAGAAATCTTTGCATTTATTTATACAGAGGTCAAATAGAGAATTTCTTTTGTTGCCTTGAAATCTATCAAAGTTTTTTTAATTACTGTATTTACCTTAAGAACTGCTTGAGTCCATTTTCTCCAGTATGTTAAGGTTTCATGGAAGATTTATGCAAATTTTGAATATTGAATTTTTATTTTAAATTTTTTTACTCCATTATAAAGGTAATTAATTTGGCAGTTTGATTTCTGAAAGGATAGCAGCCACTTATAGTATACCAAAGTACGTGCTGCATTATGTAATAAATGTAATGAGAATTTGAAATTAGCTCAGCTGAGAACAGTTCCGTTTGGTACTTCAAATGTACATCTTCATTTAAACTGGACTGGACTAGGTACCTTTTTTTTTCTATAACGAATATAAAGAAAACTGAAATCACATGGCTTCTGTGCAGTCTCTCTTGTTCTTGTAGTTATATGTATTTAAGGATATATAGCTGTTTCAGAATAAAATTGCCTTTTGCTGAGCCAAAGCAGAAGGAAATGTTTAGTTTTTAAAAATTATGTGACATATATTATAAATTACAAATGGACTCATGCTGCTCACTATGTTCTGAGTACTGAGCAGATCCTAACTTTTTTCTGCAATTTTTTTCTTTAATTGCAGAGAACTTAATATGTACATATTTCCCTTCCAGGAAGCTTTACAAATGCCAATAAATGAAACATGGTAAGAGATTTGTTTCTGCATGCTGTAAATCAGCTCCATCTATACAGCAAGTTCTGAGTTTGAGGAAGGAAATTTAAAACCAAGCAAAAGTATTGAAGAACTTCAGAGTTGCTTGTTAAGCTACTTTGGAGAGAAAAAAATCCTGTTCAGGAGGGATATAAGAGACTTCAGTCCTTAAGTCCTAGGAGGTCTGTTGAACTGTGGAGAAAATCCCTGTGGCTTAGAGGCTTCTGTTCCAGGGCTTATTCTACAACCACATTGGTGGGTTCTGTTCCTTTGTTAGAAATCAAATATACTCTGTGTTCCAGGCAGTACTTTCCCACTAAAAAGTGTAGAACAACTTCATTGCCTTGTTTCTCTCTTCTTTCTTAGACTGCTTCACAGACTATTATAAACCTTCAAGATTTGTTTTTATTGAAAGATTAGTGGATATATTTTTTCCTCTAATTTTTCTTCTGTGTTTACTTTGTGCTTGATAACTGCTTCCTATATATTTACCTTCCCAGTTTCCCACATGTAAGTATGTGACTCGTAGTCTGTCCTGATAATTGTTTGGGTATTTCACACAGCAGCAGGGGGAAAAAAATTCTCTGTAGAATTTATGAGCAGGTGCAGTAGTTGAAAATTTTTGTTCTTCATTTAACTTAATTTTTCTCTTTCACCTTGCTTTTGCAAGGCAAAAAAAAAAAAAAAAAAAAAGAGTATGATTCTCTTAGTTTTGGTCTAACAAGCTGTCTGTTCTCTTTAGTGGTAAGGTAACAGAATTCTAGTAAGGAATGAATTTTGGAAACCTGATATAAGAGGGAAAAACAAGGGTTACGATTTTCTGTTCTCTTCTTTAGGCTCTCATTTTTGGCTGTTCTTTGCTCATCCTGCATTCTGTGCAAAGAGAAGGAAGTAACTGGTTGATCTTTCTATTTGTTACTGTAAAAGAAAGCACTGGTTGTTTTTGGCTTTTTTTTAATTAAACTGTCATGCATTAAACTAGTTAGTCACAAATATATAATTTGTCACATTATAGCGACTGGTGTAGAAAGAATTTTTTTTACCAAAAGTCAGTTCCCAGCCTGCATTTTATTGTTGCTTCTTATTCATGTTCTTGACCCGTTTTGCATAAATAGCCACCAATAAGGCAGGCTACCTGGAACATATATATATAGCAGTGACTGAGTGATAAAGCAGAAGAGGCAGAACGGAAGATGCTTGCCTTGTAAGTATTTCACGTTATCACATACCTCATGAAAGCTTCGCAATTTTAATCCTTGATGTCCTCTTACTGTGTGTTTTGATGAACTTTTGTTGCCACGTTGTCATAAAAGTTCAATAATTTTCTCAACTAATTTAATCGGACATACTTGTAAACTTATGTTGTGTCCTCCCAAACACTCCCAGTTTGGGAGTACATTTAGCTAGAATAAATTCTTTTTTTGTCACCTACTTGAACAAAAAAATATAAATGTTTGTTTAATATGGAGAGACATCAGTATACTGTGGAAGTAGCAGGGATAACAACATTATGTGTTCTTTCAAACAGAGCGGAGTCTTTGATTTATCTAGACATTCAAACCAAAGTAGTCTTAGTGTCAATATACTTTTGTCAATGTTTAAAAAAAATACATAAAATACATGTATGTATATATACACATATGGCAGTGGTAGCAGTAAGGCTGGAGGAATTGGAAACATTGTATGTATTTGTTTTATTTTGGGTCTTTTTTTCCCCTTACAGTAAATTTAATAGTTTGTTGCCCTGAGTAGTTGTCTTTCAGGTAGAAAGTTTCTAATGAGCTTTCTTAGAAAATAATACATAAGACTTACCAGCCTACAATTTTTGTTCTGTTGTGTTGTGCCATTATATGCTGCTGACATTATTTGCAGCCGCGCAGAGCTTAAATATGGAAACCAGTCTTCAATAAAAAAGAAAGGAATAGACAGGTGCTGGCATTTTCTTTAAAGGAAAAAATAATTTGTAAGTGGTGTGTTGTTTACAGCCGTAGCAACACCGAGTCGTGGACTATTGTGTTTGTCTCAAGCGTATAGAAGAGTATGGCACTCGAAATTTCAGTATCTGAAAGCATCACCTATCTAACTCTGAAATACATTTTGTAGCAAGTAGTTGTTAAAGCCTGTTAACAGCATAAGTGTGCAAGAAACGTGCCTGTCGTTTGCTGGTTGTGTTAGATCTGTTGAAAGACTAATTCGGACAAATTTATTCCAAATTAGGAGTTGAGCCGTGCTGCTAAGACTCTCAAACATTTTGCCAAAAGGAAGAAAATGGTATCAAGTGATTAAAGGCTTATTTTGCTTATAGGAAATAACAATTGGAAGATAACTTAATTTTTTTCATATATGAAAAGGGGCATTTATCATTCAGTAAGTGTCCATATTAAGTAATTTGGGGTCATTCTGTGCCACCTTATTGAGCTTTTGGCATTGATGGTTAAATCTAATTTCTTTTTAATTGTTCACAGATGTGTATCGTCCTTGAGCACTGATAGTGAATTAATCTTTCTCTGCTCTTGTGTTAAGGTAGCCATTAAACAGCTTCTCACAGGTTGGATTTTAAAACTAGTATTGCTTGCACTCAGATTTCTGGCAGTCTGTGCCAAAATGCCTTTGAAAAGGTTAACCTCCTTTGGTGTGTGATGGTCAGCTAATAAGCATTACTGGGAATTTCCACAGTAACACCAAAAACATTTCCCAGGCCTCTTAAGCAGACTGCAAACACCCCTTTTTCTCTGTGTAGCCATTTTGATTTGAGATCTTTTACGCTTTGGGTTGTTTGGGTTTTTTTTTTTAATTGTTCCCATTGGGAATCATACACAAACGTTTCCCCCTTTGCAGAAACATGATGCAGCTGCCTTGCTACCCATAGTTCCAGCTATGGGGTATGTTACACCCAGAAAGTGCGTGCCCCTTCTTTTAAGTCTGCTTCTGCCAATTCTGTATCATTC